TGAGTTCAGTCGCATAGCACAGGGAGATCAGCTCTGTGCTTTGTGACCGCCTGGAGGGGTGGGATAGGGAGGGTGGGAGGGAGGGAGACGCAAGAGGGAAGAGATATGGGAACATATGTATATGTATAAATGATTCACTTTGTTATAAAGCAGAACTTAACACACCATTGTAAAGCAATTATACTCCAATAAAGATGTAAAAAAAAAGAAAAATGAGTTCAAATCTGGACATATTAAGTTTTAGGTACCATGTAAAGATTCAAATGGAGCTGCCTTGAAGGCAGTTAGAAATTTAAACCTAAAGCATAGGAGAGAAGGCAGGGCTGGGAACCTGAAATCATCTGCTGATCAATTATGATTATCATTTATTGAGATGCGCTGGACACCACGCTGAGTGCTTTACATGTATTATGTTATTTAAGCCTCACAACGAACATGAAAAGTGGACTTTATTATCCCACTGAGACCTCAGAAGTGTTCGAATTTTCCCAAAGGTTCTGACGCAGTAAAAGAAGAGCTGGGGTTATAAGCAAATGTCTAAATTCAAAGCATGTGATTTAGATATGAAAGTCATGGGTTAACAAGAGAGTAGCTCTGCTTGTCCACCTAGGAGGCTGTCTAGTAGTTGGGGGGTGGGATCCGTACCCACCTTTTCTGGTGGAGGTAGAGATGGGCCGCAGCACCCTCCACACAAAGACTCAAGGCCTTTTCCTCCCTTTCCTTCCTCCTGTCATCTTTTTATTTCAAATGGGAAGAGAAAGGGACCACTGCCATGGGGGATGGTTGGATAGTTATGATAATAAAAGTGGATGCTGCTGTCCCTAAACAAGTCCTGGAAGAAGTCTTAGCCCCGAGTGTTTGAATTCTTTCTAGATATTTTTTAGCTAATTTCTTATCTTTCATACCTTTGAATGCTCCTTTAAGTCCAGGCAGGGCAAGAAAAGTGCCACATTGCAACTTATTATAAGTGTTCATGAATAACGCTCAGTGTCTGGCCCTATGGTGTGTGTCCCTGAAATCCACTGCCACTCTCAGCACTTAAAATGAACCGTCCAAACCAAATTGTATTGCATGTGGTAGTAGTTCATTTCAGGAGCCTGAGAACAAGCCACAGGAATCCAAGTTCCTCTTGTTCTCTCAGTGGACCTGGATCCAATTTAAACAAGATAAAGACAGATTTTTGATGCAGCTAACCTTAAATCACCAACCGACGCTTAGCAAAATCATTGAAAGACCAAAAAATCCCACACTGGTGCAGACCTGTTTGGGAAAAAGGATAACAACACAATCTTTTAAAAAATCCTTCCATTTTGACATGCAAGAATGGTTAAAGAGCCTGTCTGTAATGAAGCTCTACCTGTTTTGAAGTGAACATTAACAGGAAACTAGATTCTCCCTGATACTATAGCCCCCAGCCCAGCGCTAAGCCCTGCTGGACTGCAGCCACAGGACAAGCCACAGCAGCTCCGGCTCCTGCACAGACTGACCACACAGGCCAGGCAAAGGCTGCCCTCCTCCCCCTGTGCTGCCTTTGTCTCCTAACAATACCTAGTATTTACTGACCTCTGATGTTTCAGGATCTATGTACCTTCTTATCTAACCCTCACAACAACCTATCAAGGCAAGTACTAGTTCATCTTCATTTTATATGTTCATTCTCAAGCATTTCTGGCTTGTGTAGAGGTTAATGTCAATTACTCATACCTCTGTCCTTTCTGGTTCTAATCAAAAGAGAAGTAATGCAATGAACTGGTAAACAGACAAGGATCACAGTATTCACCTTTTTTATGGAGACCTAGTCACCCCCCCACTACAGGGTCCCTGAAAGTACTGAATTAAAGAAAGTAATTTGGAATTGAAGCCAAAACAAACGAGGCTTTCTATTACCTCTGGCCAAATCTGAACCTTAGGACCAGCCACTGGAGTGTCCTGGGCTGCAGGTAGACTCTTGGTACAGCTCCAGCTAGCAGTGGTGTGATGGATTGGGACCCATCTCAAAGAGCCAGATGTCAGCAGAAGAGAGTGCCTGAAAGCACGGGAAAGAAATAGCTTCTAGAAGGCAGGCAGCATGCCAGGTCTGTTTACTCTACAGAGCCCACTGTCTCTTTCTAACAATCTGCCAAGAAGAGAGAGAATACTACTTCTTGCTTTTAAATGTAGCTTTCAAACAGTTTTCAAACATAGCTACTCACTGGAATCACTTGGAAAGGTTTAAAAATATCAGTGACCTAGCTACACCCCGGACGGACTGAATCAGAATCTCTAGCGCACAAGTATTTTCTGAAGTTCTCTAGGCAATTCCAATATGCAGCATAGACTGAGAACCACCCCACGGGGTGGCCAGGTCACTAGGGGTAACCCCATCCACTCTTAATGCAGCCAATCAAGCACTTCTGAGTGGCTACTTTATGCTGAGCAATATCCTCATTACAATTCTGTGAGGCAGGTATGATAATCATAGCATTTCACAGATGGGAAAAGTGGGACTTGGAAAGGCTAAGTGACAGACCTGGGATTACAAATTTAGTATGCTGTCTCTCCTGAGCTGGATACTTAACCACTATACACTTTGCTGCTTTTTGTGGATGCCATGCTCCCAGCAATCTCTCCAATCAGTTAATACGTTCTTCTTTTGTAGGGAGAAACATACAAGTGTTGGAGAAACTGGAAGAGTTCATTCCAATATGTGCTCCTTAAAGAGAACACAAACTCCATCTGCGGAAGTTGAAGAAAAAGAATACAAGTTTCCAACAACTAACATTTGTAGAGATTTGAAAAACATGTGTGTTACAGGGTAATAAATCAACAGGTAGTGGGGTTAATTGTCAAGCAACTAAAGTCAAACAGCAATTTTTTAAACACAATCAGCTGAATAGTTTTGAGCAGCCCTCTTTGGTACCCTGAGACTGAGAACAGGAAAACTGGATGGCATAGTTCTGCTGTGAAGATAAGGCTAAGGACTGTGAAGGAAGGTGACATGGGAGATTATGCAAACAAGAGACTCAAAGCTGCTTGTGTACATCCCAGTGACAATACAAGCTGAGCAGAGAAAAACAAGAACACAGGCTAGAAGACTGGGAGGGGCTGGAAGGCTGTAGGAGACATGAGGTAAATTTCACATCCTGAGACAGAGTCTGAAGATGAAAGGTGACACATGACCCCATAACTCAAATATTTTAAAAGGTGAAGACAAAAGAGAATTCTCTCTCTCCTTATTCCATCTTTTTAGAACTCTGCAAAGGTAAAAAGTAATATAAATTGGATTTTGCTTTATACAAGTTTGCTTAAAGTGTGCAAGTGTTAGTATGTCGATGTATTAATTTTGCTAACAGAAATTTTAACACTGAAGATTTAAATCTCTTCTTCTAGACAGCAAATAATTACTCTAATTTATTCTTTTCACATAATGAATTTGCAGGACACTGGCATATATCATAATTTGATCCAAGGGAAAAATATATCTCATTACAATAGTGTGTTGGAACACCTGATGAGCAAAAGAAAAAGAATTCCTACACACAGATGTGTTTCCTTGTTTTATTCTCTCAAGTCTGAATCATTACTCCCTTAAGAGGGCTGAAAGGAGGACAAGAGACTTCACCCATCTGTGCCAGGACAGAGCTGGGTGGAGCTTGTGAAGTAACAATTTGCATCTTCAACACTATACACATTACCTGCTCCTTTAGCTGCTGGGAAACTTTTCAAAGTGTTGCAACTGGCAAAATCAGGTTAAATCAACAGGTTGTTTTCATTTCTGGTGAAAGCTTACATAAGGGTTAAATTGTAAAATGCCCTCACACTACTTTACAATAATTGAAAATGACTGGATATATATTACATAAGTTTTAACAGTGCTAGTCTGCAATTTAGCGATGTCTCTGGAATGGAAAAACAAACTCTAAATTGATTTGTTGTATGCTCAACTCCTTCTCACTGGGGTCACCAATCAGTTCACCTGTGACTTAACTCTATCCATTGCCTCCGCCCCCCCAACACACACACACACACACCCCAATACTTAGACCAGGTAAAACTTTTAACACATTACAATTAAATTCCCAAGACCCTAGTATATTATGACCTAGACAGCAGGCACACAATATTAATTGAACAAATAAATTCTGCCTTTTTTATTGTATTAACTTTTACTGTGTTTATGGCTATCCTTAAGAAATTTTCTAAAATGAGTCTTTGCTAAAAAGGATATAGAAGACATTTATTCACATCGTGAAATGAGATCAGGAACCAAAAAATTAAGATCTTAAAACATGTTTCTTAAGTTGCCATAAAACTCACATTCTGAAAAATCTGAAAATTATTTTTTTACACTTCGGGGGTTGCTTTCAAAGATTACGTGAAAAGAGATTAATAGCACTTTCCTTGCCACTGACTTTATGTATCAGTTTAATCGAAAATGGTCAAATACCAGTAATTTCATATGGTTCTACTTGACTAGAATCATTAGACAGATGAAAAACCGTAATATTTACACATCAAGTGAAACAATGCAAGTCTCTGTATTCCAAAAAATCTTTGCAGGAGAGAATGACCTCAGCTACTCTGAAATGTGCTTAAACAACACATACTCAGCACCAGGGCTTATGGTGCTAGCTTTCCATATTTAAGGGTGCTACTGGTGAGGCTCAAAAGTCAGATCCTGACTAAGCTTCCTCAATGCACACTAAAGACGGGTGTTAGAGTAAGTCACAGGTAATTCTGGGGTGATAAGAGGCAGGGATAAAATAAATAACTTCCAAATCCAAAAATGTCATGTTGGTCAATAATTTTAAAATCTCATTCCCCAAAGTGTGCTGTGTTTTGTTCACTTAGCTTTTCTACCTTCCACAAAAGGTGCTGAAAGGCAATGAAACTTCAAGAGTTAGGAGGAGGTAGAAAACTGAGTAACTAGCCATTTCACAGGCAATAATAGGCTGCAGAGTAATACTGGCTTTGTTGTAAGTCAGAAGCCCACTTGATTAATACACAACATAAACATCCACAGCCATTAAATGACTTTATGAAAAACTAGCCATGTTAAGTATGATACACAATGATCACAAAACTACTTTGAAAACATGCTTTAAAACGCTGAAGCATAAGAAATAGTCTCTTATTTTCTAATGGGGGCAAGGGGTTTCCACATTTTCTGGATGATAAAACAGAGACCCAAACACTGGACATAAAGTAGGCCTATAGAGCAACAATGCATTCCCCACAGAAAATCACAAAATCCTCATTCAGAATCCTGTACTTCTTTATCCTAAGGTACTAAGATTTAATCAACTCAGACACTATACACAATTCTGAGTCTCTTCTCATTTTTTTATTTTTTAAAAAAGACAGATCTAGGATTTTGTAAGAAATTATTACTAAGTTACATTTTTTTTAAATCTGTCAAATACTACAGTAATGGAATAAATAAATAAGATTTTTTAAAGTTCAATGTTTATAGACATATTTATAAAAAAATGACTGAATTAGAAGACATTAAATAATGTTGATACACACCAGGAAGGGATTAGGCAAGGAAAGGCACATCATTTCACCACAAGAAATAAAGACCATAGTTGGAAGTTAATGACCAGCCAAAGCTTTAGGTCTTGTGGTAGTTTTCCTAGCTCCAGAGGGTCATTATGGTGTAACCTTCTTTATGGTACTTAGCTGAAATAAACGTATGGCAGTTGGAGAATTTTACTCTGTGACCCCAACGTAGTGTTTAAAAAAAGCACTCTTTTAATAAGTCTGGTGTGTGAGGAGGGAAGGAACAAAAATCCAAAATGGTCTGGCGATACTAAAAATCCTATTGACGTATTAAGGAGAGTTTTTTTAAAAAAGTAAAATAAGGTTAATCCTCTTCTCTGGCTGAACTGGAATTCTTGCAGTTACAAAGTTAAAATTCCATGTAAACACTTCCTTTCTTGTAAACAAGACACAGTACAGATAAACAACTGAAGATATTTCACCTCAGATGAAGTTATACGCCAATATTTAGAGAAAAAGATAGATAATTTCCTTATTTTAGATAGCCTAAGTCCTTGAAAATAGCCTGGCTGACTGGCTATCTACAACAGCAAAGTGAACGTAAGTTTTGACAATGATTGTTTCCCAAACAAACTAGAGTTTCCAGTTAAACAGATACTTTATCCAACAGACCTCAGCGGCACTTGCTTTGGGTCAACCTCCTACTACCAATTTGCTTTCACAAATTTGTGCCAAGAGTTTACCCAATTTTTTTCTGTCTGGACTCTGAACCTAGATTAGTTTGACTGAAAGATGGAATCACTCAGATTCCATATAAATTTTAGTGGTATTAAGAAACAACTGTCTGCGTGAATAAATAAAACGGATTTTCAGGATAAAATGGTATACCCATTAAAAAAAGAGTTAAATTAAAAACAACTGGGGGGCAGATAAGGGAAAATATTAATATCAAAAACTCATAAAAATGGCAATTGTAAAGCAGGCAGCTTCCCACTCATGCCACACGATATGCCTTCATTAAGGTGTACTCTTTCCGGTTGGTATGAGCGGCCCAGATGAAGAGAGCAGAAGCCATGAACTGTAAGGGAGCTGAGACGCAAGCCAGGCAGAAGGACCATCCAAATTCGCCAGACACATTCTCAGGCAGCTCTAGTTTCTGGTGGAGTAGTTCAATTCCAGCAACGTAACAGCTCACTGAGCCCAGTGTACACAGACCTTGGAGGAAAATTTAGAAAAAAACAAAAACAAAAAAACATAGCTAGATAAGAGCATGGTAAGAGCTTTCCAGGCAACACAACAGGGCAGTAATATGGGATCCCTAAGGAGACAAGAAGTAGGTAAAACTAAGTGTGATGACAAGACCCACCTGCAAGGAGATGGAGAATGCCTGTGGCAATGGTGGGGTACAAGCTTCGGCAGATACAAGCACAAAGTCCAATCAAAGCCCCAAAGCACATCAAACCTAGACTAACAAAAGGTAAAAGGAACTGGCAACGCCAAAGATCTGATTTTAAAAAAGAGAGAGAGAAAAAAGAAATGTTACCATGACTTCAGTTTTCTCACAATGGCAATTTCTTTCATATTCTAATTAGAACTTTTCTCAAAAAGTGAGAATGAAGTATGCTAACATTGAGGTTTTTTCCTAAAGCACATTATTCAAAACAATGCTAACTTTCTCCTGATAAAAGTAAAAGGACACTAACAATTAACTGTTACTGAGGGCTTCCTATGTGTCAGGCACTGTTCTATACATGCTTTGCGTATTAAACCGCCAAAATCTCTATGAAGTAGGTACTATTACTATGATCTCCATTTTATAAATGAGGAAACTGAAACAGGAGGTATAAATAACTTGTACAAGGTAACACAATAAGTGGTAGAACCAGATTTGAAGCAAAACATTCTGGCTCTACATACAAACAAATTTAAGTCCTCATAGGATCTTAAGACAGGAATAACAAGCAAATGAATAGAGATTATAAAAGACCTGTTAAACGAATACACATAAAGCACAAAGCAGAGGATCTGGTATATACCAGGCACTCAATAAATCGCAGTTTTAATTATCATAAATTCCCTCAACAACATGGGAAAAAAAGCTCATGACTTTACAAAGCATCCCATTACATTTTCAAATTATGTTAATTATTATCAATGTAGTAACATCAACTCTAAACCAAACTTTACCTTTTAGTGCTAGTTTTACTTTCTGGAACTACATAAAAGTCTTTTCTCTAACTTCCCTTCAAACTCTGTTAGTAATAAACTTCTTCCTATGCATTTACAATGCAAAATTGAATACTTGTCATTTTATTCAATGTTCCTTCTCATGATGTGGTCATTCTTCCAGGCAAGCTCCAGTAACTCTCTATATAGCCTAGAAACTAGGTCCAAACATGAAGACAGCATTTCCTAGGCTGCCTGACCATCAAAGAATCGAATGCTCGTAATAATTACTTTCATTTGTTTTTGACATCTACACCTTGGTTACTACCACCTAAGACTGGATCAATAATACTTCAGCAGGCCTGATACTTGTTGACTCATATAAAGCCTGCAGTCAACTTTTTTCACATATCCCGACTGGAACTCAGATAAATGAAGTGTTTAACTTAAATATAAAAATGTATTATTTATCCCTGTTAAACTTCCTCTTTAAATGGGCCCATTAATAACATCTTTTGGATGGTCTGGATTCTCTCACCCAATGTATTAGCTGCTCAACTTCATAGTTGTGATTTGGTAAGTATGTACCTAACTTCTAAAATGTGTTATCAACAGAACAGAGTTTGTTGGGATAATGTTAAAGACCTTATTTCAAGTTGACACAATGTACAATGTCATCCTGTTCCAAAAAGAGTTCAACAAAAGGGAAATAAAATTATTTTCTTTTTTTCCCAATTGTCTTGCTGCGTTCAAACTACTCACAGGTCCGAAGCAGATCGATCCCACTATTGTGGTTTCCAGGATCAACAAATTTCTCCTCGAACTGCTCATTTAGCGTGAAACTGATACATTTTGTGACCATATCAAATGACTCTGGAACGAGAATAACAATGATTGCTTGTTGTTTTAATTTTAAACATTTAACAAAAATCTCTTTTAGTAATTATTCTCTGAAATAAAAAGTGATATGGAAAAATGTTCTCAGGGGAGACAGCAACCTCTTTGGTCCTGAGTGACACACAGCCTTCACCAATGCCCAAAGGACCAATGGTTCTCAGCAGCAGGCTTAAGACATGGGTTCAGGGAGGAGCAGTAAAATTAGCAGTAAGGGGCTTCCCTGGTGGCGCAGTGGTTGAGAGTCCGCCTGCCGATGCAGGGGACACGGGTTCGTGCCCCCGTCTGGGAAGATCCCACATGCTGCAGAGTGGCTTGGCCCGTGAGCCATGGCCGCTGAGCCTGCGCGTCCGGAGCCTGTCCTCCACAAGGGGAGAGGCCACAACAGTGAGAGGCCCGCGTACCGCAAAAAAAAAAAAAAAAAAAAATTAGCAGTAAGAAGACTAGGAAGGAGTGGACAAAGAAACTTTGATCTTCTCCCCCAAACCTACTCCATCAGCCATGTTCCCCATTTCAGGTAATGACAATTCCATTCTTCTCATTCCTCAGACCAGAAACTTTATAGTCATTCTTGCCCATATGCATTCCATCAGGAAATCCCAGAGGCTCTACCTTCAAAATATATCCAGAATCAGGCACTGCTCAGTACTACCATCCTGGTCTTGAGTCATAATCATCTCTCACCTGAATTGGTGCAATAGCCTCCTAAGTCTCCTGGCTTCTGTCTTGGCCAGCCACCTGTCTGTTTTCAGCACATCTTCCTAGGTGACCAGATTATCTTTCCTCTGCACAAAGCTCCCCAGTGGCTCCATCACACTCAGAGTAAAAACCAAAGCCCTCATCACACCTAGAGAATCCTGCGTGATTTGCCCTACTCCCTCTCCCAGGATGTGTCTCTGACACATACCCAACTCTTCCCCCAGCCCCCTCCTTCCAGCCCAGGGAATTCCTTGCTGGTTCTGGAATATTTCAAGCATGCTCCCACCACAGGGCCCTTGCAGTTGTTCCTTCCAACCTAAATGATTCTCCCTGCCTCCACAACTACCCATATGGTCAACTCCTTCACCTTTATCAAGTCTTTCCTCAAGTGGTATTTTCTTGTTGCAGCGTATCTTGCCTTTACTATTCAATAGCATAACTTATGCCCACCAACATCCCCTTCCCTATGTATTTCCAAACCCCCTTTATTGTGCTGTATTTTTCACAGTACATGTCATCTTCTACTATATAATTACTTATTCTGTTTATACTATTATATTTATTGTTTATTGCCTGTCAGTCCTTATTAGAATGTTAGCTCCCCTCGGGGGCTTCCCTGGTAGCACAGTGGTTGAGAATCTGCCTGCCAATTCAGGGGACACGGGTTCGAGCCCTGGTCTGGGAAGATCCCACATGCCGCGGAGCAACTGGGCCCGTGAGCCACACCTACTGAGCCTGCGCGTCTGGAGCCTGTGCTCCGCAACAAGAGAGGCCGCGACAGTGAGAGGCCCGTGCACTGCGATGAAGAGTGGCGCCCGCTCACCGCAACTAGAGAAAGCCCTCACACAGAAACGAAGACCCAACACAGCCAAAAATAAATTAATTAATAAAATTTAAAAAAAAAAGCAGCAGAGCAATAGCGTTAACTGGAGCTTTAAGAAAAGAATATTAGCTCCCCAGGAGTAGGGATTTTTATTTGTTTTTTCCCCTTATGTACTCCAAGATCCTAGGCCCTGGAACATGAAAGAATGCACTAAATATTTGTTGACTGAATAATAAACGATTGCTAAGATTCAAATATCAAGTGCTCCTATGCTCTCATAAATAGAATTGAACATTTTAAATAAAATTTAACCAACTTTCACCTCTTTCCAAACTACTTTCTTTTTTCCATACAAAATCACAACTATCAGCCTTCCGATGTATGGTAACTCAAGCCTGTTGTGCTGTGATTTGAATATAGTGCTTCCCACCAAGAGCCCAACAGAAGTAGTCATAAATAGAAACAATTTATAAAGCTGTTCCTTACAAAGAACTCTAAAGCTTCCATCTTAATAACTGGAAATTAAAATTTTTAAATGTTAAGAATGCTTACAAAATAAACCTGAGAGGCAGTTTCTTAGATTTTTTTTACTTCTGTAATGGATATTTTTAACCTAAAAACTCCATCAAGATTGTTGTAAAACAGTCTCAAATATGCAGACTTAAACACAGAACTGGTCGAATTATACCCTCTAAGATTTAGTGGGCAAATGATAATATCAACTAAAACACAGCTACATATAAAATGACTATCAATTCATATGTGTTGACTTCATTTTGGATACTAGTCCTTTTTACCAGTTACTAAGTATTTGAAATCTTCCAGTGTTCTTTTCCAATTATTTTCTCATGACATGTGAGTTTAATACAAATATCTTAATGAGTGGGTAAATAAGTACAAAGATTTACAATGATTTTCCCAAGATAAGGACAGTTACTCATCCAACCAATATTAATGAGTATGATGGTAATTCATGGAAGCTGGGGAGGGAAGTGATGGGGAGAAAAGAAATACATAAGATTTCTTTTTTTGGGGAGAGAAAGAACCCACAAACCTGCTTATACATAACTGGGCCATCATCACATCACTTTCTCTATTATAGAGTAGGTAAAGGAGACAAAAGTTAAAATAAGAGAAATACCTGTCCTTTCTGGTGGACTATACCAGTATGTGTTTTGGGGTATAGTGATACACCGTCTCCACAATCCCACTGTGCCGTTATTTCGGAAAAGTGCATCATTATAAGTCTTTTCATCTGCCTCATCGCTAGCAAAGTCAGTCCAGATACTTTTGTTCAAATCGCTGGAATTTTCTTGAACTGGACTTCGATACTCATACCAGAAGTCTGTGCCAATTGAGGCCGCCATGTAGATGGTAGAAATGAGGCTAAGCACACAAGCAATTACAAACGCTGTAGCAAAACGGTTATCCATTCTGGCATTCAGACTGCTCTGTTTTAAAGTTGAAGAAAGAACAAAAGTTAGACTTCAAGGACAAACACAGATTTTGAAAGGAATTATGTCAAAATCACCCTTTACCCTATTCCCCCCTCCCAAGGCTCTTTAAAGTAATGTATAATCATTAATGAATTTTAAAAAAAAAAGGAAGCAAGCATTTTTTTAATTAAGTTCAAAACAAAACTCATTATCACAAAAGTACTTATTGAATGCTCACATACCCAGGATGCTACGGAGACAGAGGTCTTGTTCTCTAGTCTATCACCTGCACACTAAAACAGACAACACTGAAATGGACATACACATTACAGATACAAACAATAGACATGCCCAGAGTCAGCAATGTACCTTGCATACATTTTTAATGACAGACTGCAGAGCATTAAGTGTTCTGGGTCTGAGTGTGAAAAAGGCATAGGAAAAGGAAGCAGAGGAAATCGGCTCCTCCCAGTTTCCTCTGCATAGGGAAACCTTCTAAAACAAGGTTACGAGTAAGGAGCTATTTAAAAGACAGGTGAAAATGTTTGTTAACCCAGAAAGAAAGGTTGTTCCAGGCGCACGGCATAGCAAAGAGAATAACAACATATAATAATGCTAGATTCTAATCTGCCCCTTTAATCTGCTCCATTAAAGCTAAGCCAAGCTCTTTTACGCTGTCAAAATCTTCACTCGTATCTACTCTACCCATTCCTTATACTTCTGAACCTCCTCATCTGCAACCTAAATGATCCCTCCTCAGCCAGAAAGAAAACTCTGGATTAGGCAAATATTAACACTCCCAAGGCGTGGACAGGGCTCACTGGCAGTAGTAAATGGCCGCAGTAAAATGACTCAAGGCGGATCAAGCTTAGTCAAATACTGCAAGTATATATACCATGACCGCGCCAAACACCTTAAAAAGGAGCACGAAAACGGGCTCGCAAACTGGGGTTGCTGAGTTTGGGAAATGGCAAGTGACTCAGGAGAGATCAGAGCAATTACAATAATTAACGATAACTCCAGAAGTTGGGTTTGTATTTTTATTCTTTTTAATCCTTTTTCCTCCCGGTGGCTCTCAAATGACCTTAAAAGGTCCCGAGCACCGGGAGCGGCGCTTCGCCCAGGCCGGACGCCTGGCGCTGTCACCTCGCGGGGCGCACCCTGGGGCCGGGGGTGGTCGAGACCAGCCGGAGCTGCGGCGGGTCAGCCCTCCGCGGTCCCCGGCCAGGGGCCTCAGGTACCCGAGCAGGCCCCTCCCCTGACCACTCGGCCAAGGGAAAAGCCCCGCCCCAGGGCCCCGCGCAGAACCCGCGCAGCCCCGGCCGCGCCCGGGGAGAAGGCCCCTCTTCAAACGGATGGAAACACCGAACGGCTACGCGACCCCCGCCCGGCGACGTCGGCCCCGCTCACTCACCGCCCATCCTCCTGCTCCGCCAGCTTCACCCTCAAGCTCAAACCACAGCACCCTACTCTCCCCGCGCCTTCTCTGACGCACTTCCCTGCAGAGCCCGCCCCCTCCATAACTCCTGCGCCTCCGCCTCCTCCCCGAGCCCGGCCTGGCCCCGGCGCCGAGGGGGCTTGTGGGAGTTGTAGGAGGGACAGAGGAAAAGCTGCGAGAGGCGGTGGACGGCATTCTCGGTGCCGCGCGGCGCATTGTGGGAGATGTAGTTCCGCTCCCTAGGTGCGCAAAAGGGAAATCTGAGCAGATGGATTCTTAATATTTTACTAAGGAAGGGACGAAGGTCCGCCGAGTAAGGCGACCTGTTTCCGGTCACTACTAGTCATTAATTGTGACGAATATGACTCAGATTTTTCCAGTCCTGTGCTATCCCTACCACCACCCTGCTTATGAACAGCAATGAGATTGTACTTTTAAAATATTAACCCATTGATTTTCTCTCCCACAACCTCACTCCCATTGCAGCAGATAGTCTTTCTGGTTTTACTGTTTACGTTTAGACTAAGAAGGATGTAACCTGACAGAAGGTATCCAGCTAGAATGTAATGACATTCTTCGGATTTCAGATAGTTTTTGTTTGTGGCTGCTTTCTCTTTGTGGGAAGTGATATTAGTTTTCTCTTTATTGCAGTCAATAAAAATAAAATAAATTACAAAATAATTTATTTTTAAAATCAATTTAAAATAAATACAATTTGTTGAAGAAAAATATTAAAATAAATTAATTTTAAAATAAATTACAATTTGTTGAAGAAAAATATTAAGTTAATACTGAGGGTCCCAGATATGTCAAAAAAGTGAATAAAAAAATTTATGTAGTATGAAAAAGACTGAAATTTGGAGAATATTGCCTTAAGCAGATAAGGTCATGGACAACCTCAGAGATTGCAGATGACTGTATGGCACAGAGGCAACAAAATGATTCTAAGCCTTCAAGTACTGCATAGAAATCCACAGACAGGAAGCAGGGACATCTTTTTAGTGACGTGTGTGGACTCATGAATGTGCTCTGAGAACAGCAAAATGATGGGTTTCTCAACAGATACCTACAGAGGCAGCCAACTGAAGGAGCAGAGGGGCTCTCAAACACTTGCTCGTCCCCCAAATGCCTTAGAATTTGGCCACAGCACAGGAGAAAGGTGGGAGGCCCAAGTGGATACTAAATTTCTACCCCCCTGACAGACTGAAGGCATATCATTTGTTTTTCTACTTTTAGCCATAGTTCTTTTGCCTGAATGGCTGAACTGATATTCACATCCAGTACCTAATTAAAATAAAGTAATAGCCAAATATAATATTCAAATATGACTGAATTTTCATGTAGAATATCTAGTCATAGGAGAAGTTTGTCAGAGACACCAACTAGAGAAAATGGAGGAGGTGCCCAGGCAAATTGTTAATATGCAGTAAGACTCCTCAATGCATGTATTCACCAGGAAATGTTTTCATCCATTGGCTTCATTAGAAATCCTCTACCTTCTCTCTCCAGTGGAGTGGAACTATCTCTCCAGTGAAGTCACATGGTAAATAAAACCAGGTTAAAGAGAAGTTTAAAAAAGGAAGAGGAAGACAGCACCTCAGTTCACAAACAAGGGAACTGAGCCCAGGGAATAACTGACTTCGAGCTTGAATACTGGGGCGAGCTGACTAGCTTTGTGATGTTAGACAATTTACTTAGCCTCTTTAAGTCTCAGTTTACTTTTCTCTAATTATGATGTTGACAGTAGCACCTATCCTGCGTGATCATTGTAAGGATTAAATGAAAAAATACACATAAAATACCCAGCCCAGAGCCTGGAGCGTAGTAAGCAATTGTAGGATCAGTACTGTATAAAAACCTTTTTAAAGCTCTTAATTCCCCTGGAGGCTGGAAGTAAGCCATTTATCTTGGTCCCTGCTCACATCAGGAGGTTTATGAACCTCTGGACTAACTGCCAAATGACTAGGAAAGACTTTCCAGGACCAGATTTCAGGCATCCTTACTTACCTCCACTCAGGAGATTCCCAGGCTGGGCTCATAGCATACGTAAGTCCTCATGATTCAGGAGATGGATGTTCCTGGGGAGACCTGCAAACAACGATGACACTTTCATCCATTAAGTCTGCAGAATGCCTAGGAAACGCACAAGACACATTTCAATCAGCAATTTGGTATGGACCTGGGAGTGTCTGCATGCTTGAGGTTGTGACCATCCTGCCCACTCAGCCCAGAGGATGTGAACCATCTCGTCACACCCAGTACCACTAAGCACACAACAGGTATTTCTGATTTATCTCTACATCTTGGGTGTTTCTGTCTTCTATTTGTGCAGCTGGTCGTGTGGATAGGCAAAATAAATCCTTAATGAACTAATGGAGTTAAATGTCTGTTTCAATTTCTTACTGCACTGTTTGGGAAACAGTAGCTGCCTGACATATTTTCACAAATATTAAAGATGATTTAGTAAACCAAATACAGATTACAAAATTTAGATTTAAAAGCAAAGTTGAACTAGACCTCTGGCTTAATTTGTTAAGAATGGTTCTAGTTTCAGCAAGAAGGTGTTATAATTACACTATACTTTAAATAAACCAAATAACTGAAAATCTAGATATGCAGGTATTATAACTTGTTTATATTATGTGCTTACAAAACAACTCTTTATGCGAGAATTCCCTTCAATACCAAATTCCCTAATATACTTACATATTATTTTTAATTGTACTTTTTTTAGAAATTAAAAATTATGTTTAGCAAGATATATCTACATTATATTTTTCTCATATAGCTTTGTTTTTGTTTTGTTTTGTTTTTTTTGCGGTACGCGGGCCTCTCACTGCTGTGGCCTCCCCCGCTGTGGAGCACAGGTTCCGGACGTGCAGGCCCAGCGGCCATGGCCCACGGGCCCAGCCGCTCTGCGGCACGTGGGATCCTCCCGGACCGGGACACGAACCTGTGACCCCTGCATCAGCAGGCGGACTCTCAACAACTGCGCCACCAGGGAAGCCCCAAAGTGATTCTTAAACACACTAAAGTTTAGAGTCCCTGTTCTAATTTATACATCTTAACCAACTTCATACATTATGCTTTGTTATTATTTTGGCTAACTTTTAAAAAAGTTTAAAAATCACCTCTAAATTTGAACTTCTTAGAAGTCTTCCGGCCTGGATCTCAGGAATTTTTAGGAATTAATTTAGACTTCTGAACCCTCTCTTATTCTGTGTCCCAATTCCTGAGATACGTTCAGAATTGGCTCAAATGTTGAAAATGAGGAGAGCGTAAGTTTTTGTCCACTGAGGCATCTGCTCAAGTGGATATACTATCATCATTCAGCCAAAGCTGTGACTACAAGCCTCTGCTGCACAGGTGGATTGAAGGTTTTGTGTGAATACAGCCACCCCAACTGGCACTATGATATATTACTTCTTTTTTTTCTCTATCAACCACTCGCACCCCATATTAGAAAGGATTCATTAGGTTAGGTAGCAGATAGCACAGCAGAAAGAAACCTCTGTTCGTACATGGTCTACTGATATGTCCCAGAATAAAAGGCAAAGATCATGAAGCAAACTATATGTTTTTCATAAATCTTATCAATCAGAGTGATTATATATTCATTTGTTAGAAACACTCTCTTACTTGAGTATCGTAACATGTATAACCATTTAAATAGTCCAGTTTAAGAGCTCTGTTTATAGTCTAAGAGTTAGTGATTTTTTTTTTTATTCTGACAGTAACTTGGAGAGTTTAGTGCAATATATCATGCCAAATTAAGTGGAACCTATTTGCTATTATCAGTGTTCTCCCCCACTTTATTTGTTGGATTATTTCCCTTGGTACCTCATATTTATGTAAACAGCAGTGATATTAGTATTTTAGGCACACTTCAGGCTTCTTCATAATAGTTGATTTCATCTGGATTTAGGTGGTGTACAGCAAAAATTGTATTTATTTATATTGGTGTCCCTCATACCCAGCACAGTGTCTGGCATACAATGTGATCAATAAGTGTTTGTAGATCTGGACTGAATTATGCTTGAGTTTTGAGCCATTTGCAATGAATAAGGACTTTTCACAAACTTCTCCAACAGCTTCTATTTTCCATGATCACTGTTTTTTTTGAAACAGCAAAGGTCTGAGTTGCTGCATCTTTTCTAATCAGAATGCATATAGCCTTCCTCCTTTTTCTTTGTCCATCTGCATTTCCCACTATCTCTGTCTTCTTGCATATTGCCTTGGCTGGAGGTGTAGGATACATGAATTCCCCAACAAAACTTTAATGCTGTGGACCTATGACAACCATATTTCGGAGCTACATTATTCTTCTTCCAGCAGAAGTATAAGTCATAAAATTTTAGAGATTTAAGTGACATTAGTGATCATCTAGTACAACCATTTTACTAATGAGGACACTGGGGCCCAGAAAAAGGTCATCTACCAAAGATTCACATTGATGATTTTAAAATAAAGGACAATTTAAATTTAAAGTTCTCATCTATGTATGGTCCATCCTCTGTCTTTCAGAAGAATGGACATCTGAACAACTATAGTTTGTTGCTCTGTGTAACATTTGACAGGAATTACTGAAAGGAAAGAGCCCACATGCCACGGAAGATCCCACATGCCGCGGAGCGGCTAGGCCCGTGAGCCATGGCCACTGAGCCTGCGCGTCCAGAGCCTGTGCTCCGCAACGGGAGAGGCCACAACAGTGAGAGGCCCGCGTACCACACACATACACAAAAAAGAATCACTTTGAGGGCTTATTAAATATAAAGTCCTAGACTCTACTCCTAACAACTCTGGTTCAATAGATCTGGGACCAGCTTCAGAAAGCTACAGTTTAGTAGGCATCCCAGGTGACTCTAACGTGGGTAACGTGGTCTGGCATCCACAGGTTCAAAACAATGACATTAAGAGGCCAAAAAAGACTTTAGTTAGAAAAATACTATAAGCTAGAGGCCGGTGGAAAGTTATCGATGGTCTCTGCCTTCAAGCTGCTCATGATCAGCTCAGGAAGTCAGACGCCAAAACAACTTACCATGTAAAATGAGATAATAAGTACTTTAGAAGCAGAGTTGTAAAAGTTCTTAGAGAACACAAAGCTGAAAACAATGATCTCTGCCAGGAATGAAGGGGGAAAGCTGAGCGTGTTTTGTTTTGTTTTGTTTTTTCTGAAAAAACAGTTCTTGAGAGGTGACACGTGTCCTGTAATTCAGTTACTGATATTTACAGTTTACTCTTTTTTTTTGGTCATCGCCTTGTTCATACTGCCATTTCATATGCTTATGGTGTCCAGTGTTGTTTTTGAGTTTTGGTCTGTGCGTAGCTGGTTATTTTACTGTTAGTTTCCTCATGTTTATTTCAAAGAGCATTTAAAATGAAAAATGATTGTAGTTCCTAATTTATTTAGAACTATGACCTCCCCTATTCTATCTAGTTAGCTTTTATTGTGGGTTCTGTCTCATAATAGCTCTGTACTCTTCGAGCTATTAAAAGACCAGTACTATGCTGTGTGTTCCCTTTTTTGGCTTAAAACAATTTATTTTCTAACTTGGGTTCCAAGATACGGTTGATCCATGATGGGTATTCTCATACTGCAGCATTCTACCACTAATTACCATAATCCAAAGTGACTATATATGATAAAGCAAATCATTTTGTCTACAGCTGCTTCAAAGTTTACTGAGGAAGTCAGATTTGAGATAGTTTACATCAGTAGGCTAACAGCTTTGGAATGCTGAAAGAAAATTTAAGACCTACAGAATAAATGTGCAGACAGATGTTTTCCTCTAGAGTATGAGCATGAACTCTTTTCCATTTTATAATTCTTTTATGTGGAATTCTTGAGACATATCTAAAAAAAATTTTTTTCAATATCTTAGCCCCAGAATCAAACTTATCTTTTCAAATACCAGAAGAACTTCTGGCTGCAGAATGCAAAATTCTAATAATACAATTAAAGTACAGTTACAAAGAAATTTTTAAATATATACATATAATTGCTTCTTTAATGCACACACACACACACACACACACACACGCACACATACATATAGTGTTTAAATATTTAAATTTTCCATGTTTACCCCATCAGTCCTTTTCAAGTAAACATTGTTCTACTTCAAACTATTTGGCAAAATGAAATATTCTATTAAATAGTTAAGGCTTACCCAGTGAGAAAGATTTCTATCCAAGAAATGTCAAAAAGTTAATTAGTTTATCTCCTCTGCAGCCTATACTTAGTGAAGAATATACCCTCCCACTCCCTCTCCAGGAACAACACAGAGCAGCCTAGGACACAAAAGAAGGTAGACGCAGGCCCGTAAATCAACTCCCAAGTGACTTTCTGGGGCTGCCCCAGATCAGGGTAGCCCTCATCCTCCCCTGACCCAGACTAAATGCCTGAGACTGAGGTGGTAATAGAACACATCAGGAAGAAGACAGAAAGAAGGAGCACAGCAGGCAGGATCATTCTTTTCAGTATATTAATTACGGGAGAAATAATTCCGTAGAAAGGACTTCAAGTGTTTAACAATTATATTTTCATCTATGCAATAGTAGTATCAACCTGAAACTGTAATTTTGACGAAGAAATGAGATGGAGGGAAAGTAAGGGCAGAAGGGTATGAAGGAGGCTTGAGCCACTTTGGCCAGTAAAGAATTGAAATAAAAGGAGTCAGTTTCAGAATTTGTTGTATTTTACTATGGTAAAATATAAATAAATAAAAGGGAACAGATGAGAGAAAAATATGATAGAATCTTTTTGATATTAGCCTGTTTCTCAAGTGTTTTGAATGAACCAAAAATCTTCCCTTTATAGTGCCTATACTGGGCACTCCTTTGTAATGTCACCTAATATAGTTCTGCCTGTTGCCAAGTCAGTAATTCCAAAAGTGAAGTTCGCTGATGTGTGCAGGCACTTACTGAAAAGTCAGAGCTCAAAAGCTAAAAAATCGGGGTTTCCCTGGTGGCGCAGTGGTTGAGAGTCCGCCTGCCGAGGCAGGGGACGCGGGTTCTTGCCCCGGTCCGGGAAGATCCCACATGCCGCAGAGCGGCTGGGCCCGTGAGCCGTGGCCGCTGAGCCTGCGCGTCCGGAGCCTGCGCTCCGCAGCGGGAGAGGCCACAACAGTGAAAGACCCGCGTACCGCAAAAAAAAAAAAAAGCTAAAAAATCACTGCTATCAAGGTGAGGCGTAAAGAAGAAAAGATCAGAGGGGATCTAGAGACTGATGAAGGATAGTTATTTGAGGGTTAGTAGGGAGAAAATCTCCTGCTCAAGGATATTAACACTAACAAAAGGGAACTTAATTGGTTGAATTATAATAACAGGTAATAGCGGAAAAATAGCAGTTTGTGACTTTTAAACCTGTGTTTGTAAGCTGCATAAATAACAGCAATGCCCACAGTTAAACCCCAATGAATTCATCCTTGCTAAATTATACTGGATCATGAGTAACATTTCCAAAGCACTTACTACATGCAAGGTTCTGAGCTAATTGTAGTGAAAACTTTTTTTTTTAATAATGATAAAAGCACAAGACATGGTCCCAGCATTTTGGGTTTGTTTTTTTTGTTTGTTTGTTTGTTTGTTTGTTTGTTTGCGGTACGCGGGCCTCTCACTGCTGTGGCCCCTCCGTTTGCGGAGCACAGGCTCCGGACACGCAGGCCCAGCGGCCATGGCTCACGGGCCCAGCCGCTCTGCGGCATGTGGGATCTTCCCAGACCGGGGCACGAACCCGTGTCCCCTGCATCGGCAGGAGGACTCTCAACCACTGTGCCACCAGGGAAGCCCTGGGTATTTTTTAAAACTTACTGAACAAGACAGGATCAATTATACATGAACTGAAAGAGCGAAATAAATGAGAAGAAACTAGTACCCTAATTGGAATCATTATGTTTGCCATAGATGTGGACTGGTATGATTTGGGGAAATTTACTCTTTATGCAATGGAAGACTATTCTCTTCACATTTCACCAATGATGTAAATGAAAACAGTATCTTCAACATCACCACCTTAAAATTCTAAAAGTAAAACAGCATACTGCATGTGAAATAGGAGGCTAGATCGGAAAGATTCTCAGTGTCAGAAAAGCAAAGATATCTTTAAGGTAGGTAAGGAGAAAAAGTTAATTCATTTCCTAATCTCTGGAGATTTAAAGAAACAAATTGAATGTCTTGAAGAAAAAAGTCAAAAAGCACCTCAGTTTCCTGGGCAAATGCAAATAAAGAAAACCACAACCACAACTACCCAATACCAATCAGGGTGGTGTTCCTTGTGGGCCCTTTCTGAGGATTGGTAGAAAATGTATTTTTTAATCTCTGTTTTTAATGCGTGTCCCAAGATCTTCTAAGGAAGGGGGTGGGGCAGGGAGAAGAGGCAGGCACTGTATAAAAGAAGCTGCCTTGAGAATTCTAAAATTCATACAAAAACTTCTTAGGTAAGAAAATTTACCAGATTTGGCACCTGCTGGACCCAGTGATGGACCCAGAAGCAACCACGGTTTACTTGGAATACTTCTATGTTACCAGCCAAAATCCTGATATTGACGAGACCCACTCCCATGTTCCTTATACATCAGTCTTCCTTCCAGTCTTTTACACAGTGGTGTTCCTGACTGGAGCGTTGGGGAACGTCATCCTCATGAGTGCATTGCATTTCAAAAGGGGCAGCCGAAGACTGATTGACATTTTTATCATCAACCTGGCTGCCTCTGACTTCATCTTCATCATCACGTTGCCTCTCTGGGTGGATAAAGAAGCATCTCTAGGACTGTGGAGGACAGGCTCTTTCCTGTGCAAAGGCAGCTCCTACATGATCTCAGTCAACATGCACTGCAATGTCTTCTTGCTCACCTGCATGAGTGTTGACCGCTACCTGGCCATCATGTGTCCAGCCGTATCCAGGAAAATCAGAAATAGAGACTGCGCGTATGGAGTCTGTGCCAGTGTCTGGTTTATCTCCTGCCTCCTGGGGTTGCCTACTCTTCTGTCCCGGGAGCTCACCCTGATTGATGGTAAGCCATACTGTGCAGAGAAGAGGGCCACTCCAGTTAAACTGGCTTGGGGCCTGGTGGCCTTAATTTTTACATTTTTTGCCCCTTTGGTGAGCATTGTGACCTGCTACTGTTGTATCACAAGGAAGCTGTGTGTCCGTTACCAGCAGTCGGGAAAGCACAACAGAAAGCTGAGGAAATCCATAAAGGTCATCTTTATCGTCGTGGCAGCCTTTGTCTTCTCCTGGCTGCCCTTTAATACTTTCAAGCTCCTGGCTATTGTCTCTGGGCTGCAGCAAGACCTCTACTTTCCTTCAACTTTTCTCCAGTGGGGCATGGAGGTGAGTGGGCCCTTGGCCTTTGCCAACAGCGGCATCAGCCCTTTCATTTACTATATCTTTGACAGCTACATCCACCGAGCCATCGTGCACTGCTTGTGCCCTTGCCTGAAGAAGTATGACTTTGGGAGCAGCACTGAGACCTCAGACCTCACTAAGGCTCTCTCCAACTTCATTCAGGCAGAGGATTTTGCCAGAAGGAGGAAGAGGTCTGTGTCACTCTGAAAGGGACAGTAACATTTCAAGCTCTGTTGGTGGATCGGAGGGTTCATTTGTGTCTGAGACAAGGCAAGAAGAAAAGTATTGCTAGTGGTAATACTGCTTCATGAACACAAGGAAGTGTTCATTTTTAAAGAGACATCTAGAAAGTCTCTGTGTTCCTGGATGTAATTAGGCCGTATGCTGTTTTGTTTTGGTTTTTTTCTTAGCTGAGTGGCCTTATTTGACCCTTGCCAATCAAGTTCACCAGGCAAAATACAACTCTTATGTCTGTGAACTCTAAGATAAAGGCTCCTGCTTGGGCCAGTTCCTTCCTGCATGGTTGTTAATGAACATTCAAGCCTTTTCCTCTCTCAGGAACCTAGATCCACACGACCCTTCATACCGAGCTCCAAAGTGGACAACATTTAAAGGATTCTGCCCACTTGTATCTGGTGAGAAATGTGGTGACAATGCAGGTAGTAAAAAATGTAATATACCTGTGCTCAGTAATTAATTATTCCTGAGTAATGAAGTGAGGTTCTGGCCTTAATCTTTAAAACTTTATATGGTAATTCTATACCATCTTCCAACATTGTCTTTCACCCTATACCATTCACAATAACTCTGGACTGGCGAAAGCTCACTGGGATAAAATCATTTTGTATTGTGTGTATGATTTGGGACTTTACCATTTGGTCTTCAAGAGTATTTTAACAAGAAAGCATAGGACAAGGTTTGACTTTTATTTTCCTTATACGATATGTCGGTTAAAATGTATCTTATTATAATGATGTAGTAACTACTTTTCAATGGGGTTTTACTGTACTCTTTGTTTTCACTGCCTTTACAAGTTAGGATATGGCTTTGTTTTAATTACATGTTTTTAATTACCTAGTTATCTAGTTATAAAATAAAAGTGCTACTACTACTGTAATTAGAGGTCACCAAATGCTTAGCAACACCCTCGTGCAGATTATCATTTTGTATTTTAATTAAAGTGTTAGTGCTACACATTCCCTGTAGCATCATTTGCTTGGTGTATGTAATTTCATGATTTGATCCAATAACATAGGAAGACAGGATGCTCTGTACTCAGCTGAAGGGAAAAATCCATAACAAAGATGTTACTGGTATTTTACATACATTTTTTGAAACTCAGAGACCTCCTGGACTTCCTTACCTGATAGATATTTACTGAGTCAATTTGTACCTATATTCCTTTTAAAGAATTTGAAGTGGAAAATGTAACTAGCAGCAACCACAAAAGGCTTTGCAGCAGCAAACATACTATTGTAATATATCTTTTGGTTCAAGATAAAATAGGTATGTTTTTGCCCCCACTGTTTACACAAATGAATTATTGCTTTATTTTTAAATATTAGATTTGAAAATCAGAGAAAGCTTAGAATCTTTTCAGAGACTAGGTAATTCAAGTTCATCCTATGTATCTTTCATATTAAGAGAAATCTCAAATATTGTGCATCTTCTTATAGTCTATTCAGAAGTTTTTGGTTTTATAAATTGGTAAATTTATTACTTTCTCTTAAACTTTTATTAAATAAAAATATAATTTTGTTATAAAAGTATTCTTCTATGTTGTATTAATTTCTATTAACATATCAATTAATACTGATATTCTAACAGACTTTTAATAAATTATCATAGATATAGAAAAAAAAGACTGTGTAAATCATAAGAAATAAAGTTTCTGGGAAAACTTCAAAAGTGAATTCAATATAATTAAATAGATCTCCAAAGGTTAAATAAAAGCAAAAATACAGAAAGTAGAAGACATTCACTTTTTTAAAACAAATCAACAAAAGCACTGTAACTAATCACAGAATCAGAGCCTTTGAGAAATGCTACCTTTAAAAAATAGCCCAATCAGCTAAGGTATTTGTGAGAAAATGAGAAAACCTAGGTTATTTGGTTTAGCTTCACCCTCAATGTTGGGACATTGAACAAGTCATTTTAATCTTTCATACCTAGATGTCATTGGTAATATCTATGTCTATAGAATCCTCAAGGATATTGTAAGAGTAATAAATATAAGTGAAAGGTTTTTTAAAATATTGAATAAAAAGTTATATGAAACAATTCTGTTTCTATCATTAATTATTGAATGTTACATAAAAGTTTCCAAACTAGATTATCAAATGACACTTAATCATTCTCATTTAACAAATATTAGAATCTATCCTACTTCTGTTTCACCCTTTTCATTTTTTCGTTTTAACGTGGAAGAAAAACATACTGTTATACTTTTTAATACTTTAAGTAGGTATGCTACTTGTGTGCCTTATGGAGATCTTAGCATATTTTATATTCATAAGGTACCAGTGAGGAAAGGAAAAATAGGCATAATTTTACAGACGGCATAACTCTGACAGAAAAAAATTCAAAATGTGATTAGTGTTATGTTACTATGAGAACCTACCACAGAAAAGCTATCCATTAAAGCCTGGGTGAGAAGCTGTCTGATAACTTGTAATTAATTTTAAAATTAAGGCACACATTCACAAACACACATTTAGTCCATTTGGGCCATATGGAAAGAAGAAAACTAACCTGATATTCCTGGGAGCCCCACAACTCATCCACTCTAACGAGTCAAAATCACCTCTGAGTGAGAACAACACTAAGTAAGAACAGTCTTAAAGGAAGCTGTGTGCGTGACTGAGAGGGGACGATTACTAGGGGTCATAAGTTAATTTTTAAATAGACACAGAAATGCACAGAATGATGGGAAGCTGAGTAAAAGAAATCTTCCTCTGATTCATCTTGACTCCTCAAATCATTCTCTATTCCCCCAAGAGATCTCAGAAGTGAGAAATGACTTGTCAAATGTGCATGCCACAGTGAACAGCGAGCCTCAGTTTTCCTGCAGGGCTCATTCACAAAAGTCAAACAATAATAAAAGAATTACAAATTGACTTCTAAAAGAGCCCCTGGTGTGGCCTGCTAGCAAGAGGATGCCTCCAGCCCCATGAGAGCAGTGCTGTCCAGAGAAAAAGCAGGAACATAATGCGAACTACCAGAAATGGGTAGTGGGTTTTGCTTCCCACAGAGCTTGTGGGTTGGATTTATCCCTTGCAAATGTCTTTTCTTATTTTAAGTTCTTTTCTCTCAGTCAACATTCTTTGCTTTTATCAACTCTATGAATAAGCAGTTATGACAAGACTTTACCTATCAGTGTACAGGGAAAAATAGTTCCAGCAACTTGACTTTAAATTTCAGATGCAAAAATCCACCTTAGGATTAGTTCCTCTTGTCTCTTGTTATCTTTGTCATTTTCTTAATAAAGCTACATTTCCTAAACGTATTTGATAAGTGGGAATTTCATCCTAAGATTGATTAACCTACAGCATTAAAACAAATAAACAAACAAACCAAAAAAAAACCACTTTAAATATCCAATGTGCCCAACTGTTAATAAAGTGAAAGTTCTTATGATAAGTTAAATCAAATGTAAACTCACACGAAATGTCCATTTATTAATCTAAAAGTGGAAGGAGGTACTCTGTTCGTTGGCAGACATTATTAAACTAAAAGATTCTTGGCTTATGTATATGAGTACCAAATTTCTAAGATCCAAAGGCACTTTAAAATTACAGTGGAACTGTTTCTGGGTTGGCCACATGTGGTTAAGTTGAATTGTGGCTAATTTAGGCAAGTGGCCCATGTAAAGGGTATATGATACAATGTTCATATTATTTTTATAATGCTCTGCAGACTGAGTAAAGGGTATCATCAATCTGACATTATTCAGTGATTTTCTCATTTTCTAATTAAGAAGATTTAATAATTAGCTAGTTTACTATCACTCCCATATTAACAAGAGTTGGGCTTCATCTATGAGAACTTTATGTTTGTCAACACTGATGGGAAATTTAGAATTTTTATCTGCTAACCTCTATCAATTCTGATTAGCAAGATTTCATTTCCTTACTACTATTAGTTCAAAATGAAATATAAAAAGTTCTTCTTGCTAGAATACTTTATATTTGCAGAAGATATAGGTATTCGTGTGATGTTCTTAAATCAAATAAAATTTTATGCATCAAAAATTATGTGTGGCTAAAGACTATTTTTAATTTTTAAAAACTTTTCTGTGGTAGAAAATTTCAGCCAGAAACTCTGCTCTTTTCCTTATAGACATATGTAAAAACTGTCTACTGTAAAACTTTCACAAATTCTTAAATCTGCAAATTCCAGTGTAGCATATAATTTACTCCATATGAATTTCGTAAAGTTTAACCTCCTCAGAGACACTGCATGATGTGTAGAAAATAAAACAGAATTGAGATGTCAACCCTAGGTGTTTGGCCTGACCTGCTAGTTAAGTCAGTCATTACTCATCCCATCGTAGATGAATGGTTTAATTTTGTGACTCTTATGCCTAGACCAGTGGAGTTCCTTGAAAATATTCAATATCTCAAACATCAAACTGTGAATGCAAAGTGTCTCTTGTATACAATGCACTATGTCAGCCACAAATTTGTTATTATGACTGATGGGTTCCTTATTATAACTGGATTCTGAAGCAGGCGTATTGCAGTCACTCACTCACAAAACTTTTCTCTCTCTCTCTCTCTCTCCCCTCCCCTCGACCCCGCATCTCCATCTCTGTCTCTCCCTTTCTCTGTCTCACACACACAAACACAATGTACAAACACAGCTGATGAGCATGTATTGACTCTTGTTGCTAATATTCAGTTTAAAGTACTTGATAGAATGCAATAAAGGAGAAAATAAAGCAAAGAAAAAATATAGTAGGGCTTCCCTGGTGGTGCGGTGGTTGAGAGTCTGCCTGCCAATGCAACGGACACGGGTTCGAGCCCTGGTCCGGGAAGATCCCACATGCCACGGAGCAACTGGGCCCGTGAGCCACAACTACTGAGCCTGCGCGTCTGGAGCCTGTGCTCCGCAGCAAGAGAGGCCACGACAGTGAGAGGCCCGCGCACCGCGATGAAGAGTGGCCCCCGCTCGCCACAACTAGAGAAAGCTTTTGCACAGAAACGAAGACCCAACACAGCCAAAAATAAATAAATAAATTTATTTAAAAATATATATATATATATAGTAAATAGAAAATACAAAATAAAATGGCATATATAAAAATATCAACAATTACAATAAAAACATAAATGGATGAAAATATCCTATTAAAATTGAACAAGTAGCCCATTCCTACAATCAACTACTATATATACGGCACTATTAGGCTCTGGAGGATTTAAAGAGGTAGAAGTAGAATTTGTTTCCTCATGGAGTTTACAAGCCCCGAGTTATTTTTTGAATCAAAGAATGAAGTACTGCCCCCAAGAACAAGTCAAATCACTTTCTTTGATCTTTTCCAATGTTCAGGGAAAAGCCCATATTTGTCCATACACAAGTCACTTCATGTAGCTACCATTTTGATAGGGTTATTTCCTAAATATCGTTGCATTTTCTAAAAGGAATGTACAATGTGTGCCCCCAACACTGGCATCCCCAAATGAAAATACTTTTATTGCCCTTAAAGATTTTTAGGTATAAAAGTGTGTTTTAAACATAAGAACACAACTGAACAGTAACAGCTTTAAATTTATTTTCAAACAACTAAAAAGGATATGCAAAGTAGATTACTCTAACCTTGCCCAAAGACTGTGATTTAATGAGATACCCTCTTGCTTACCCTCAGTTTAGACCAAAAGCAAAACTGACAACTCAGGTGGAGAGGTGGTAAACGAGAAACGAAACTTGCCCGTGGTTTCATGTTTAAAGCAAAAAACAAACAAAAAAAAAAAAACACCAGATTCAGAGGAGTTGAAAGTAATGCAATGCAAACTTGACTTGTATGCATTAATAAAAATTAGTTTAAAATTAGTAAGGAATTGAAAAAAGTCAATGCAGAACTGCATAATTTACACAATCTTTAGGATTTCAAATTACAGTAACTTCACTTATATAATTCAAACATAGAAAAAATACTGATAGTAAATTTATGAAAATATTTAGCAAAATAAATAATCAAAGACGGCCAAATTAAAATTTCAAAATATTGGGCTTCCC